TGTTACTGATTTTAAATCAACTTTAGAGATTTTGATTCTGTGAAATATGGCTGGCAACCTTTCCTCTGAAAATCAATCTTTTTACTTCTTACATCACTCTTGTATTGCAACACCCTAACAAAATGCTATTGTTGAAAGTAAAGACTGCTACCTCCTTGAGGTTGCACGGGCCTTACATTTTTAGGAGAATTTATCTCTTTTGTTTTTCGAGATTGTATTTTTATAACAACATATTTTATCAATTGCTTATTTACCCTATTTTAAATGAAAAAGCCACATGAGGCTCTTTTCAATTCTCCTCCAACGTATAAACAATTAAGGGTATTTGGCTGTCTTTGCTATGTGTATAACATACGTCACCAACATAAGTTTGACTTCAAGTCATGCTGAGTTATATTCATTGGTTACCCTTATAGTAAAACGTCATATTGTTTATATGACCTTGATAGCCATGAAGTTTTTGCCAGCATAGAAGTTTTTCATGGGTATTGTGTTCCATTTTTCAAGTCTTCATCATCCCCAATCCCATCACACAATGTTTTCCCACATCCATCACTTGTCATTCCTACCAACATCATATTAACATGCCCGATTGATTCATCCCACATTGTTGAGCAGTCAACTTCATCTCCAACCTTTATCATGGTTCCAATGTTCTATTGTTGTACATTATCAACTTGGTACAACTTATCCTCAACTGGTTCAAGATGTTCGTTATCCATTAAGTGTTATGGTCTCCTATGGCTGACTTTCAGCTTCTTGCAAAACTTTTGCTGCTACCATTTCTACCACAACTGAACCCACTTCTTTCAAACAAGTATCCATTGAACGTAATTGGAGAGAAGCAATGAGCAAAGGGATCACTGCATTAGAAGCAAATAATACATAGTCTTGGTTGAACTAGTCCCCAACTGCAAATGGGTCTACAAGGTAAAGTACAAAGTGGATATGTCCATCAAGTGTTACAAGGCTGGATTGGTCTTCAAAGAATATAACCAGCAAGAAGTGTTTGATTATCATGAAACCTTTGTTTCAATGGCAAAACTTACAGTTGTTTGCTATCTTGTTGCAATTGTTGCTTTTAAAAATTGGTCTTTGCACCAATTGGATGCAATTGGATGCTCAAAATACTTTTTTGTATGGTGACATTCAAGAAGATACCACTAGGTTTCTCATGTAAGGGAGAGCACCACGTTTTCCATTTGAATAAGTCCTTTTATAGACTTAAACAAGCTTCTAGGCAATGGTTTGCCAAATTTTCAGATGCGTTACTAGCAATAAAATATGTTCAATCAAAGGCAGATTATTCTTTATTCACGAGTACTACTGATAGTTCATGCACATATGTCTAGGTCGATGTAGATGATATTGTGATTACTTGCAATGATATTAATGACGCTAATACTCTCAAGACCTTTCTCAGTGAGTGATTTCATAACAAGGATTTAGGTCCTTTGATATACTTTTTTAGCATTGAGGTTTTCCGTTCTAAGAGAAGACTTCTTCTCACACAAAAGAAATACATTCTTGAGATTCTTCAAGACATAGGTCTTTTGGCTGTAGAATCTATATCTTTTCTAATGGAACAAAATGTAAAATTGAATGACAAAGATGAACCTCTTTCAGATGACCCCATGCTTTACCGACGTTTGACTGGTAGACTTATATATTTCACAATTACAAGGCCAAGACATTGTCTACCCTGTCCACATCCTCAGTCAATTCGACTTCTTTGTTATATAAAAGGCAACCTAGCCAGGGAATTCTGCTCTCTGCTAATAGTAGTATACGAATCTCTGCCTATTGTGACACTGATTAGACTAGTTGCCCAATGATCAAACGCTCGACTACTGGTTACTACATTATGTTAAGAGTCAGCCCCATATATTGGAAAAATAAAAAACAACAAACAATTTCATGATCATCTGTGAAAGCGGAGTATTGTTCCATGGTAGTTGCATCTTGTGAATTTACTTGGCTAAAATACTTCTTGTCTGATATTGACATTCCTCATAATGGCTCCATGATGCTTTATTGTGACAATAAATTAGCCAGACATATTGCTGCCAATCCAATATTCCATGAACGAACAAAACATATTGAACTTCATTGTCATCTAGTTCGAGAGAAAAATCAACATGATCTAATTCATACTGTTCATGTCCCAACATGTTCTCAACGAGCTGATATATTCACAAAAGCTCTTAGGAAAGATAAATTTCAATTTCTTATAGGCAAGTTGAGCGTTTTCAATATTTACGATCCAACTTAAGGGGGGAGTTCTAGATTTTTTTAAATGGAATTCAAATATTGAATTTCAAAATTTTGTATTATTGTACGCTTGCCAATCTAGTTGGTTAAGGATGTGCATTTTAATTTTTGTAAGAGAGGTCCCTACAATCAAGGGATTACAACCTCTTGTATCGTCTACAAATACCCTACGATTGTGTAATATCATTCTTGTAAAATTGTTCCAGCAGAAAGTGCTCCAAATTTTCATAGGATTGCTGCACACAGCTACACATTGAATGAAATCATTTGATCATTGAAATAGCCCAACAATAAATTGATTCAAAGCTTAATCGATGGTTGAATTTCAAAGGCACAAAAATTTGAAATTTCAACAAAAAAATATGAAATAAGCTTGGCGCCCTTGACAATTTGAAATTTCAACAAAAAATATGAAATAAACTTTGCCTAAAAATTTTAATTACACCCCTTAAAAGATAGGAATGCCACAAGGCCTTGGTCATTTGGGGGACCTTAGGTGGTCTTTACGCAATTGATATCCTGCCATGTGTGCTTGACACAGTCCCAAACCTTGGTGTGAGGATTTCAACTTAAGGGGCTTTGAGACCAAAGAATTTAGAAAAAGAGAGTGCTTTGATTCAAGGGGCAATATCCTAGAAGAAAAAGCATTTGATGGTGAGATTCTCAACCTAATGGGGTTTGAGATCAAGTGATCAAGGCTTTTGAAGCTTAGATCCTTTCTCTAGAGAGAGTTGATAACTGAGAGAGAGAGCCTTGAGAGAGAGAGAGAGAGAGAAGAGAGAGAGAGAGAGAGAGAGAGAGAGAGAGAGAGAGAGAGAGAGAGAGGAAGAGAGTAAGA